GGGGAGCAAGACGGGGGACAGGAGGCCAGACGGGGAGCAAGACGGGGGACAGGAGGCCAGACCAGGAGCAAGACGGGAGACAAGAGGCCAGACCAGGAGCAAGACCGGGGACAGGAGGCCAGACGGGGAGCAATACAGAGCACTAGTCAGAAGCAGCTGCCTGAGAGCACAGCTGGAGATGGGGGAACACAGTGAGGAGGTCGCCCAGCCCTGCAGTGGGTGAGGTGGTCATGTTGGGCCAGTGTGCAGGGCACAGGGTAAGGGCATGAGGCCAGGTTCTCACAGGAGCTGGCGCAGGCTGCCAGCATGGGTCTCCCAGTCCTGGCCGAGCTGACTCCGAAACCACCCCTGCCTGGAGGAGCCTTGATAATAGTGGTGATGCTCTTGCTTACGGACCCCACGCTGGCCTCTCCCCCTCTCACTCAGCAGAACTCAGGTAAGGAAAGAACTTTCAGTGGCTTCCCCTACATGAAAACACTAAGACGCCGTCTGGGGCAGTCTCCTGGCTGGATGTTCTGGTGCAGAGACAATGGGATCTGGCATGCGAAGCCCTAGCCCCATCTCACCCAGGCACTCAGCCAGTACAGCCCTGAGCTGGGGCCTGTCCCTGCCTCCAGGAGGGTGGGGCAGCAGGGCTGATGATGATGCAAGGCAGAGAGCAACTAGGAGCCAGGGACGTCCCAGGAAAGCAGAACAGGCCACTGCCTCTGTCTCTCCCGGCCAGACAGCCACAGGGGACTCACACTTGAGCTCTAGACCCCTGCTGCAGCCTGGGTGACTGATCACACACATCTTAGTTCATATTGAGACTGTAGGGGACAGGATAGCCCATATTCCTGCTCTAGGGGTCCAGCCAAAGCTGGCACTGCCCCCTGCATGTGTGTAGGTTCTGGAATCCTGGTCATGATATGATGACAATGTGCAGAGCCAGGCAGAACTGGCTCTGATGGGGAACCCTCCACCAGAAGCCGGTGAAGGTCAATTCTAGAGCGGCCCCCTCTGAAAGTCAGGCAAACAGCCTTTGCTCACCAGAAAGTAAGCACGGCCATCAGGAGTGCAAGTCTCGCCACCTAAGTCCATGCAGAGGGGGCCCTAGCAGAGCCTGCTCAAGGCCCCTGGGCACCAACCAGCCTGCGGCTGCACAGGCTTAGGCGCCAGGCACTCTTGTCCCTCCTGCAAGTGTCCTTCCACCGTTAACATTTAAGGTGGAAGGACACTAATAAAGGCAGTACTCCCAAGTATTCTGCAGAAAACACCCAGCAACAAGGAAAAAGTGACACCAGGTGAGGGTCAGGAATAAGGGTGCCAAGTAAGCGTCAGGAATAAGGGACACAAGGTGAGGGTCAGGAATAAGGGACGCCAGGTGAGGGTCAGAAATTAGGGACACAAGGTGAGGGTCAGGAATAAGGGACACCAGGTGAGGGTCAGGAATAAGGGACACCAGGTGAGGGTCAGAAGCCGAGAGGAGGGAGGCCATGCCAGTCCTTAGGTCTTAGCTTCTTCCTCATCTGATCTCCAGAAAGACCAAAGAAAGGGGGGGAAAGGTTACAACTGGCATCTAAATACAAATGGCATTGTTGGCGTCACCAGAACAAGCCCAGCCCAGCCTAATTCTCCAGCACGGCGTCTCAGGGCCACACTGCAGGTCTGACGGTGGCCAGATCACACAGGCTGTGAGAAATGATGAGCAGAGTGTCCCCTGCTATCACGTCACAAAATTCTGAAGGGAAAAAAAGCACCCACACAGCCACCACTCCCTGAAGCCACCCAATCCCACTGGGTCAGCCCAGGACAGCCCTCGTGTGGGACAATTAACAACTGCACCCCTGTCCAGCCTCCCTGGCAAGCTCCTGAGAGACAGTCCCTGCCCCATTTCTCTCCCCCAGAGCCTGAGATATTTATGACTTGGCTTTTCCAGAAAAAGTTTGCTGGTACCTGATTTAGCCACTGAAGTTTAGTAACCAAGAGGAAAGGAAATATAAACAGCTATAAAACAAGGTATCAGAAAAATAAGAGCACCATTCACATGCCTGGGGACATGAGGGGAAGGACAGCATCTTGCTTAGGGACCCCAGGCCACACCCATCCCTGGCCACTTGGGTGGGGCCACAGCAGCCCAAGGACCTTGCACAGGGCCAGGTGCATGCCGGGTAATCAACACACATCCTGTAAAAGAATGAACGAAGGAGAAGGGACCTCAGAGATCACAGGCACAGGATCCTGGGTAACAGCCAGAGGGTCCCCTGACTGGCAGACCATACTTAGCATTTAAAAAGGATCAAAATAAAGACAAATCATTTTTATGCACACTACAAATACATGAAACGTGTCCATAACATAAAATCAGAAAAGACACTCAAAGGGGCAAATATAGAACTTGAACAGAGACGTTCTCAAATACACACTGTTCCCTGTTACCTCTGAATGAATGTCTGTGCGGCCAGCAGAGGGATGTCAGGAATGTCATTGTCCAAGGACTTAGAGTAGGTGATGCTGCCATGATCGATGTTTATCAGAACTAAGCCGTCACCTTCCTAGAAAGTAAGGGTTGCTGTGTAAAGATGGATGTAACAATCTTTGAATCTGTGCACATCTTAAAAATGTACAAATATATTCTGCACTGAGATAGTGTCTTCATTAAATAAGTTACCATTTTGCTATGCACACAAAGCTTTGTATTTTCTCTACAGAAAATCGAGTGTACACTGTGAGTCATGCCAATGTGCTAAATTTGACTAAATATGACTTCTTTTCTTTCCTCAAGTATGGTAAAATAAACAGAAAGCTGAGCCTGCGGCCACTGTCAGGTGTAGACTTCCAGAGCTGAGCACTTCACACCCCCGTACGTCTCGGGAACTTTTTACCTTCCCAACCTGACACTCTGTCTCCCTGGGACCCTAATTCCCCCTGCTTCTCCCCCAAGCCCCGGCACCCCCTTTCTACTTTCCAATTTCTGTATAAATCTGACTCCTCTGGGAACATGTGAGTGGAACCACATAGTGTCGATCTTTTTGTGACTGGCTTATGTCACTCAGCCTCATCCGTGTCACTCACTTCCCTTCCTTCTTAAGACTGAGCATCCCAGGATGTAGACAGACCACACCTGGTTTCTCCATGAGCCCTTCTCTCTGAGCCAAGATTCCAGCACATGTTGCTATCAAGGTATAGAACTCCGGGTCCTACTCCATGGAGTCCCGGAGGGAACATTTCAGAACTCTGATGAGTGCTCCATAACCCCCACACCCACTGCATCCACTTCAATCCCAGCTGGCCCTACCCCTCCAAGAACCAGGCAGGGGAAGAGACCTGAGCTAAATGATCCCACCCACCGGGACCATGTGAAATATGCACTCAAGTGACAAGTCACCAGACTTCTGAGATTCCACAGTCCCCAGAGTGTGACTCCAGAGGTGCCTGAAGGCCCAACCCCTCGGCTCTCAGCCAGGGCCCTGCCTCTGAAAGCCTATCTCTGGTGGCACTTGAAGGCCTGTCTCTGGTGGCATTTGAAGGCCTGTCTCAAGTGGCACTTGAAATAGGCACTAACATGTCCTCGGCCTCTAGGTCTCACGGCCAAATGTTAAATACGCTGAGTATGCAAAGCAGACAGCACCCACGGGGGCGGTGGCAGCAGAAGTGCTCTGGGACCACCACAGCTCCCTCCCCCAGGTCCCACCACAAGCTACAAAAACAGACATCCAGACAAGCCCCAAAGAGGTGCTGCTTCTCCTGAAATCTTCCAGAACACATAAATCACTAAAGGAGTTTCCTCCATGACTAATGACTGGACATGTTATAATAGTACGCCCGAAATTTCCCTTCTGAAGGGCCTAAAACAAGATCTTTTTTCCCCTAATGACTAAAAAAAGAAACATGACTTTAAACTTTGGATGATCTCTTATTTTTTTCTTGTCTACAAGATGGACTGGGTGACATTTTTCCGTTCTTCCCTTGGAGGTCTGACTGGCCTTTTCCTAAAGTGTGTTTTTCCCCTGGTGAATCATTTGCTTTGGCAAGAGCCCAGGAACGGTCCTGCTCCCTGGCCCAGCCCAGATTGCCTTTCTCAACACTCAACCCTTGTGGGTGGGTGCCTGGCATCTGAGCCTGAGGGTGCCCACAGGACTGGCAGGAGGGGCCTGCTGCAGACGGCCAGGGGCACAAGGGCACTCTGGGACTCTTCTCTCAGATGTTGTGTACACTCAGAAACTTTTTCTTTTTCTTTCTTTTTTGAGTCAGAGTCTCAAGCTGTCCCCATGTGTAGAGTGCTGTGATGTCATAGCTCACAGCAACCTCTCACTCTTGGGCTCAAACGATCCTCTTGCCTCAGTTTTTTTTATTTTTAGTAGAGACGGGGGTCTCACTTTTGCTCAGGCTGGTCTCCAAGTCCTGAGCTTAAGCAATTCACCCACTTCAGCCTCCCAGAGTGCTAGGATTACAGGTGTGAGCCACCTCGCCCAGCCTGCACTCAGAAATGTTCATAATAAAATATTAAATGCAAACCTGCCCTGTAGGAACTACCAATAGGCACATGAAAAGATGCCAACATCACTAGTCATCAGAGAAATGCGCATGAGATGCCAGCTCACACCCACTAGGAGAGCTGTAAGGGGAAGACAGATACTGCAAGTGTTGTGAGGATGTGAGCGGAAGCTGGATCCCCCTATATGGCCAGAGGGAACAATCTGGCCGTTCCTCAAAGGGTTAAGTAGAAACAACCCAAGTGTTCCCCAACTGAGGAATGAATAAACAAGCAGGGCATATTTATACAACGAAATCCTAAGGCAATAACAATGAAGGAGTGATAGGCGCCCAGTGGGGTGAACCCTGAAAACCTCATGCTACGTGAGAGAGGCTTGATACTGAGGACCACACGTCAAGTGACTGGGCCACGTCCGCAAGGAGTGTCCAGAACAGGCACAACCAGGAGACAGGACACAGATGAGTGGCCATGGGGGTGTCTAGAGTGGGTGGGGGCGGAGTGATGAAAATGTCCAAATTGAAGCCGAGCGTGGTGGCTCACACCTGTAATCCTAACACTCAAGGAGGTCCGGATGGGTAGATTACCTGAGCTCAGGAGTTCAAGACCAGCCAGAGCAAAGCAAAACTCCATCACTACAAAACAGAGACACTAACCAGGCATTGTGTAGCTACAGTCTCAGCTACTTGGGAGACTGAGACAAGAGGATTTCTGGAGGCCAGGAGTTAGAGGTTGCTTTAGGCTAAGATGCCACAGCACTCTGCCCAGGGTAACAGATAAGATTCTCTCTCAAGAAAGAAAGAAAAAAAAAGTGCAAATTTAGAGAGTAGATAGCTGTATAATTCTATAAATACACTAAAATTTACTGAATTGCACATTTTAATCAGATAAACTTTGTGTGTGTCAACTGTATCTCAGTAAGGCCATTTTATTTTATCTCTTTTTTTTTTTTGAGACAGAGTCTCACTATGTCACACTTGGCACACTTAGTACAATACTGTGGTGTCATGACTCACAGCAACCTCAAACTCTTGGGTTGAAGTGATTCTCTTGCCTCAGCCTCCTGAGTAGCTGGGACTACAGGCGCCCACCACAACGCCCAGTTATGTTTTTGCTATAGTTGTCATTGTTGTTTAGTAGGTCTGGGCCGGGTTCAAACCTGCCAGCCCCAGTGTATGTTGTGGCCAGCACCCTAACCACTGAGCTATGGGTGCCAAGCCAATAAAGCCATTTTAAGGGCAGTGCCTGTGGCTCAGAGGACTAGGGCGCTGGCCCCATATGTGGGAGGTGGCGGGTTCAAACCCTGCCCTGGCCAAAAACTGCAAAAAAAAACCCAAGCCCCCTCTGCCTGCTGGTGTCATCACAGTAGCTGTCCTCACTGGTGCCATCAGCTCACCACCGTGTCTCGCTGTGTCTACCACTATAGCAGCAGTGACAGCTACCACCTGCTAAGCGCTCTGTGCAGGCCAGGTGCCATCCAGAGCTGCACCTGATAAGCTCAGCATGCAGACTGTCCTTTAGCACTAGGACAGGGACACAGGTCCAGTAAACTGCCACTGCCTTCAGCAGGCACCAAACCCTGTGGCACTTTGAGCAGCACGGTACAGCACACAAATCCTCCTAGGAAGGATGCCCACAGGCTCATGAACCACAGAAGCTTAGTTAATGAAGGTAAACCCAGAAACTGTGTAGTGATGACAACGGACGTTCACCTATCAAGCCCTGGCCACATGCTGAGATCATCCCCCTCCCAGAGCCCAGCCCCATGAGGACACGTCCATGCCCGATTTCACAGATGAGGAAACTGGAGGTTCCCAAAGGTGGGTAACTCAGCCAAGGTCATAAAATTAGTAAGGGGCAGAGGCTAGACCTGAACCCAGGTTCTCCGCACCCCACATCTGCCCCTCCTCACTGCAAATTTATTTGGAACCATTTGAACTATGCTGAATTTAAAAGGACAGAGGAGTGACATGAAGCTCTGGTACTTGGAATTTCGTGTCCCCAAACACCAAGGTCTGCAGAGGGGTGGACTGAGAACCAACGAGACAGGACATGGGAGGAGGGTGCACACGTGTGTGACAATAGGCACTGAGACAGAAGTCACAGTGACCATGGGCACGGCATGTCCGCCTTCACTTCAGAGACTTTCAAACACAACTTCACATCAGCCCTTCCACAGCCTCACAGGAACTTAAGGTCCCACTTAGTTCTGTACTAAACCTTGCTGACTTCTTCGAAGTGATCGAGATGGCAGCCCATGAGGAAGGACGTGGGCGCCATGACAAAATCCAGCATCTGGTCGGACAGGATGGGCACGAAGGTGTGCTGCCACTGCAGGGGGTGCAGGTAAACCACGAAGCACTCGGCCACCAGCGTCAGCAGCGCCCAGTCTGAGGAGAAGAACACGATCCGCTGTTCTGTCAAGATGCACGTCAGGATCTGGGGAGAGGGCACAGCACTCTGCCGACTTGGCCAACTTAGACCCCCCCCAAACCAGACCAAGCACAAGTTTCCCCAGTCTCCCTGTTCCCAGTGCCAAATGCTGGTCATCCAAGACACCCCCGCAGAAGTGCTATTTGCAAATGTCATGCACGGTCGTGGATGCTGACTTTAAGCAAAAACAAACGTTTTGAGCAGGGGTCCTCAAACTTTTTAAACAGGGGCCAGTTCACTGTCCCTCAGACCGTTAGAGGGCCGGACTGCGGGTCCCAGGACGAGTCAGCTGTTAAGCAGGACAGGCAGCGGTGGCAAAAACACCCAATGGGCCTAATAAATGTCCTCAGCAGGCCACATGTGGCCTGTGGACCGTAGTTTGAGGACGCCTGGTTTTGAGGATGCTGGTTCTGCCTGCTGTGAAAGCAGGCACTCCCATCATCTTTGATGAACAAAGATAACATCTCTGATGACAGAGGTGGTGTCAGGGCACTCCCAGGGCAGGGACGCACCTGTAGCACCTTCTCAGGGCGGAAACACAGCAGAGGTAGGTGCAGGTCCAGGTCGATGACAGGGCTCTCGGGGTCAGCACGTGAAGGAAACACGATCTGTAGAGGCTTCATGTTAAAGATCTACAAAGACCAATTTCTGTAATTAGTTCAGAGAGCTGCTCCAGCAGAGGCTGAAATGCACTGACATTCACGACGTTTGTGCAGAATGCATCAGAATGAATAAACATTTCTGAAGATTCACCCTGCCTCTTTATATGCCACAGAATAATAGTCTAGACCAGTGGTTCTCAACCTTTCCTAATGCCACAACCCTTTAATACAGTTCCTCATGTTGTGGTGACCCCCCAACCATAAAATTATTTTCATTGCTACTTCATAACTGTAATTTTGCTACTGTACTAATCGTAATGTAAATATCTGATATGCAGGATGGTTTTAGGTGACCCCTGTGGTTGTTTGACCCCCAAAGAGGTCGAGACCCACAGGTTGAGAACCACTGGTCTAATGTAGATAGAACTGCCAATAAAGGTTCACACATATGCAGTCACTGTCTTTTTCTAAGTAAGCCAGAATTTCTTGAACTCTTTAATCACCACACTATTCACTGTCCAGAAAAAAAGATAATACAAACCAGATATTTGTCCCACTTAGCACAAATTCTAAATCAATGGCTCAATGCCCATAGCTCAGTGGTTAGGGCACCATCCACATACACCTGGGTTGGTGGGTTCAAACCCAGCCGGGGCCTGCTAAACAACAATGACAACTACATGTTCCCCGTTGAATTGAAGCAGTTAAATTATCTGATGTTCCAAAAAGTTGGTGTACTGATTAAAAAAAAAAAAAAAAAAAAAAAAAGATCCAGGCATGGTGCTGCATGCCTGTAATTCCAGCTACTATGGAGGCTGAGGCAGTAGGATTGCTTGAGCCCAGGAATTTGAGGTTATTGTAAGCAACAGTCATGATCAGGCCACTGCACTCTAGCCTGGTTAACAGAGCGAGAATTACTGTCTCTTAAAACTCGCTTGGTTCTTTATATGTTAGCTTTTTATTTTAAACTTTCCCTTTCTTCTCTCCCTATAACTGATTTTGTTTTGCAAAGCAAATTGAATCTCATACTTCCTCTCTAGAACCCTGCTATTATTTTTAACTGCAATTCCATAATTCATTTCCTTTATCTATTAATTCCTTCACTGCTTTTATATAATTAATAGGTGTACACTATGGTTTAGAAAAAATTGATAACAAAATAGATTTACGAGATAAATAAGAATCAACATTGGGGCGTTATAGCTTTACTATCATTTCTTTCTTTCTTTTTTTTTTTGAGACAGAGTCTCAAGCTGTTGCCCTGGGTAGAGTGCTATGTCGTCACAGCTCACAGCAACTTCAAAACTCTTGGGCTTAAGCGACTCTCTTGCCTCAGCCTCCCAAGTAGCTGGGACTACAGGC